ACGGACAACCAGAGAGCTGAGTTAGCTAAACATTCTCAACCTTATTATTCTGCATAAATGCTAGAATAGGTACCAGAATGAACCATCCCATCTTGATAGTTTTAACTCTGGATTCCCCTTAGTATAAAGCTAAGCTGTGGGGAGAAGGAGAATATATTCTTAACATTTACATGTTTCATGAATCCTGATTGCCAGCCTTGTACAGACTGTTCTGTCTCAGCAATAAAATTAGAGTAGCTGGAGGAACATATGCCCCCTGCTTTACAAGCAGCTTGTTTTAGACATCACCAAGAGGGACTTCAGGAGGTACCTGGGTAGTTTTGATTCTACATACTTTCCAATCAAAAGGCTTCAGAATGCCAATTAGTGAAATCTGCCATAGCCCTTGAACAGAACCTAAAGTACTTTCAGTCAAGCACAGAGATATGATTCTCATTTTGGTGAAAAATGGAAGAAGGGACGGGGCTAAAAATAAAGCATTAAATGATGATGTCTGGCATTACCAGACCTATTTGACTTTCATGTGTGAGAGAGGCATTATGCTGTGAATGCTAGAGACATGTCCTATCATTTTGCTGGACAAAGTCCCCAAATACCTCTAAATCTTTCAGTCTCAATTAGATTAGTCTATCTGAAAGAAGGAAAAGAAATTCTGAAAACAACTAATGCTACCTCAGCAGTGTGTCCGTACCAGGATAGAGACTGATCATCCTAAGGAAGAACAGCAAACACTGCAGGCTTTAGCCCTGTTGTGTAAATCCCCTAGCAATGACTTCCCTTTTCTTTCCTTGCTAAGTCCCAGGAGATGTTATGAGTAAATATAAGCTTCTGTCCTCCTAATCACCCTTCAACCCTTCCCACCTGATCAGTTTTAGCAGTGCTGAAGAGCAGTGCCACTAATGTCATAACTGTGTTCCACAGAAGCTGCCCAACTGACTGCTTCTCAGCATAGTAATCCTAAAGAAGAGAAAGCTTTCTGGAGTCTGCTAAGAATAAGCTTTTATATACATAAATGTATATGGTAATATATATAAATTGCAGTTTCTCCCTGGGCAGTCCAGTCGCCAAGCCTGTACAAACTTCATGGATAATATCTCAGGTGAGAGGCATGACTGGCTGCTTAGTTACCAGAGGAGGTATAAAAGGTTTGAACACTACCTCAACCTTTCCTGCCTGTCATTGTGAAACTTCCTCTGTCAGACAGCCCCATCTGTCACTCAGGAACTGCATCTGCTTGCCTGTTTATTTTCTCACTTGGGGTTGAGGTCACTTGCCCTCCCTTTAGCTAATCAGAGGAGACGGTAGTAATCAAAGCACAATATCAGTGCTCCAGGGATGTCTTTTTTGAATAGCCTCTCTGCACACTGTTCTGCAAATCTTGCAAAGTAATGTAGACATGCACAACCAGAGGAAAAGAACAGGGCAAAAGGTTTGGTTTGAGATCCAGCTAGAGAAAAAAAGTATTGCTGAATCTATATGCTACATGGAAAAACAGGTGTAATCTTTACTGAGAAATTTCTCATGTGTGACAAGAAAAAAAATCACTAAGTTTATTAAATGGTAGCCTTTCACAGGAAAATTCAATGGATGTTCTAGCACAGATGTAAAGTGCAAAAAAGAGTTGAAAGTGCTTATTTTTTGAAAATGCAAATCAGCTTCCTGACTTCTCAGTGCTCTTAAGGGACTATCCTTAAGACAACGTGCCAGTCTGCCTGGAGTTATTAATTTTGCTCTCTACACTTCCTCTACTGTACTACCTTTGTTAGGCTCTGATAAACAGTATTAAATACCTGTCAGGTTCTGCCTTCAAAATCAGTGCATTATAGCATCTACTAAAGTTATTCCTGTGGAGCTGATTCTAAAAATAAACTTTATACAGTGGATGAGAGATTTGTATCTGAAGGAAAGAGCAGTGAAAGAACAACTGAGTCCAGGGAAAGGAGTGTCTGCCTTGTTTGCCCTTTGCCTAATTGTGTAGTGGGCTGGCAGTTTGCCTTAGCTTGCAGACCCTAGCTCATCTTGGAAGGATTTAAAGCATACCAGTACCAGCCTGATCTCTCAAGACTGATTTCTCTTTGTAATGCTATTGTGATGAATCATGTATTACTATGATTAGCAGAGAGAGAGGTACAATTACTTTTTTGCAGCCGTGGCTGGTAAAGGATTTCCTGGAAGCCGAGATGTGACAGAGGTGGAAAAAGTGTCTTCTGAGACACGAAGGGAATGGAGAGAAATTTTTGCATGCACAGTTAAAAAAAAATAAAAAAAATGAAGTTAATGGGGGAACAGGAGAACAGGAGCAGAAAGACTTGTAAATGAGCACTACCAGGAACAGGGTCTTGACTGAATTGGACCGTCCCTCCGAGCAAGTACGACTCTTCTCATGCATAAGAGCCTGCTTATCAGCAACTATTTGTAGCAGATGGTACCCCCTCAAGAGCAAATTTTAAAAAAATAATGACAGAGACACTGAAAGATACTGAAGAAGAAAAATAAGCTATCCTGGAGAAGGTTTAATAATATTACCAGGCAATTGGAAAGTGCCTGTCAAAATTGAAAGGAAGCAGAGTGGAGAAACAAGAGTGGAAGATAATATAATTAAGAGGAGGAGAGCATTGGCCAGCTGCATGGTAGTCCCCACATGGTCTCCATTCTTGGAAAAGACAGCAAGCTGCTTCTTCCTAATGCTGGTTGTTTTTAACCTGCTTGAAGAAGGACACTGAGATGGTAACCAACATCCTAAGAGCCTTTGAAATTCAAGTTCTCCATGGAGAGGAAATAAAATTTTAAATGGCACAAAAGTGCAACAAACCATTTTCTATTTCTATGAAGTAAACAGTAATCTTTTGATGTCCTTAATATATTTTCCTTGTTTCCCAATAATCTCACATTTTTTCTCATCACTAAGGCATGAATGCTTCCAGTACTTATAAAATTCTATCAGTCTTTGTGGATCAAAATTGATTATACAATGTAGTCTCTTATAGGTGGCAGGGCATCTTATCTGAAAGGTCCAAAGCAAAGGTTTGGTGTTTACAGCATTGAAACCAAAGTTTGCACCTACAATCAATGCAGTAACCACAGAATCCCAGAATTGTTTGGGTTGAAATGGATGTTCAAGGTCATCTGGATCATTTCAATTCCCCTTTCATGGACAGGGAAACTTCTACTAGACCAGGCTGCTCAGAACCCCATCCAGCCTGGCCTTGAACACTCCCAGGGTTGGGGCATCTACAACTTCTCTGGCCAACCTGTTCCAGTGCCTCACCACGCTGACTGTAAAGGGTATCTTCATAATATCCAATCCAAACCTGCCCTCTTTCAGTGTGGAGCCACTCTTCTTTATCCTAAAAATGTGTCCCAGACTAGCCCACCACGGAAGTCACTTAAATCATGTTGATCTGAGCATGAATCTCAGACTAAAAAGGTGGACTGAGGAGTGGACAGACACGCTGGTCCCATTTCCCTCCGATCTGACCGGAAACCCTCATTGACAGACAATCATATAATTATGAGGTTGAAAAATACCTCTGCGAGCACCTAGCCCATGGACCTCGCTCACGCTTTCTCCAAACGCCTCTAGCAGAAGACCTTGTCCTGCCGTCTCGTCCCACCCCGCGGTGCAGGGCACGCCCGAACAGCGGCACCGCAGCTCCGTGCGGGGCTCCGCGGAGCCTGCCGGCCGCTCCGAGCCGCGCTGCCGGGGCGGGAGGACGGACGGACGGACGGACGGACTGGACGGAGGGAAGAAGGGGATGAGGAAGACATGGAGGGACGGACCGGCGCTCCTCTGCTGCCCTCTGCTGCGGAGCCCCGCGCCGCTGCGCTCCCTCCGAGCTCCCGGGAGAGCCGGGACAGCTCCGTGCAGCGAGGAACGACGCTGGGAACTCCAGCGGTGCCCGGCCTGCCCCTGATGGAGCGGATGGAGACGGGCACCTGCAGGGACGAAGGCAGGTCCAGGAGGCGGAAACAACAATACTGACACATTTGAGGGGGAAAAACTTGCTCCCCTGTGCTCCCAGAGCAAACTTAAATTCCGCAGTGTTACCCATTGTATGCCTGAAGATGATTAACGCCCCAGTTAAGAGTTATGAACGAGGGTAAACGATATATTTAACAAGTTTTATGATGTTATTGAAATTATATTAACTGAAACTTAAGCTGCACCTATGACTGCCGCATCATTCTGGGCGAGCTAGAAGGGCACAGGCAGCACCGGCGGGGACAGCCGACCCGGGATGCTGCCAGCCCTCCGCACGGCTTTCCCTGCATCCCAAAGGCGCGGGCACACAGGCGGCATCCGAGGGCATGAGCAATCGTGGCACAGCTTTCATTTCTCTCCGGTTTCCATGGGCTCTAAGCGATTTGAGGACTTTCACTCTGAGCGAGGCGCTCGGTACAGCGCCGCAGGTGCCCGCCGCGAGGCGGCCCTTCCCGGGCTCCCCGAGCATCGCTGTACCGAGAGCGGCGCTGCTCAGGTGCCCGGAGAGGCCGGGAACCCCTTCGCTCGCTCCCGGTCCCCTCCCCTGCGCTCCTGCCCACGGCCTCGTCCCTTTCCCTTCCGCTCTCCCGCCTCGGCGCGCGCACAGGCGCTGCCGGGGGCGGGGCCGCCCGTTACCCCGCCCCTCAGCGCAGGCCCCATAGGCCTTCGCCGCTGCCAATCAACGAGCCCCGCCTTTCCCCCCCGCCGCTGAATCCACCGCCGAGCAACGGATTGCGGCGGCCATCGATTCCCTCGGCTTGCCCTGCCACCCCCGTCCCACGCACATCCCGATCCCAGTCCCGATCCCGGTCCCGGTCCCGGTCCCGGTCCCGGCCGGGGGATCTAGGAGGACGAGCGGCCGAAGGTACCCAGCCAGCGCCGCCGCCACGTCTCCCGGCGCGGCCGCCTATCGCCTGCAAGGGCGGGCGCAGCCGCCGGCGCGGCCGTGTGGCTGCAGGCGTTCCTCGGGGAGCCCAGGAAGGGGCACGGCTGTTCCCCGCCTGCCCCCCCGCCGCTGGTCCCGCCCGGCTCTCCGTGCCTTTAGCGTGTGCCTGCCCGTCCCGCGGGGCCATGGAGCGCGCGTTCACGCCGCTGGAATGCCTCCTGCCCGCCGGTACGGTACCGCCCGCCCCAGCCGCGCCGGCAGCGAGGGGAGGGGGTGGTGAGGGAGCGGGGCGGCCGCTCCTCCCGCCCCGGTCCTGCCTCCCGCAGCCCCGCCGAGCCCCGCTGCGAAGCCGCCGCGGTGTGTCTGCCCCGCTTAGGCTGAGCTTTGGGCTCAATACAGCGTTAGGTACCGTGTTAACTCCCTCTGGAGTTCAAAACTGGCATTTAAACCCCGACCCCTGGGGGTTCAGTCGGTACTTTCCGTTTGCTGCCTCCGTTTTCTCGGCTTGGCCGGCCAGAGCGCTCCGGTGACTCCTGTCTGTCCCGCATCTCCTACCTGCGCCCTGGGGAGAGGGGTCCCCGGGCTTGGCATCCATCCCCCTTTGTGTGCCTTTGGCTCCCCGCCTCCTGCCCGTGTGCTTTGCCCTAGAGCCACCCTTGCACCCTGCCTTGCCCTTCAGTTCTGCACAGCAAAGCTTTGAGGTTTGTATTCAGGGTTTTCTTTGGTTTTCCCAGGCTATCCAACAGTATTGTGGTTTTGATTTTATTTTTGCGATTTGAGAGCTGAGCTTTATTAATATACATCATTAACTTTATTATGTGTTTAAAGGATGGAGCACCTGTAATAGGCACAGACCCATCCAAGTGGCTTGTACACAGTTTGGAATAGGCACTTCTTCCACATTCTGTGTTTGCAGTGTCTAATTCAGTAGGGTCCAATTTGTTGTTCAGTGATACCATTATAAACAGTAAATATTTTTGTCTTTCTCTAACATGACTTTAAAGCTGCATAAAAATCATTTTGGCATAGCAGCTGAATTCTAACTGACACTGCTCTTTTCTCTGTTCTGGCACAGACACCAGCTGCTGCATTGAGGTAAATGTTGTTATTTATTTACTAGTAAGATCTGTAATAGGAAGGGCAGAGTTTAACAGAATGCACACTTTTAACATTCAATACATTTTTACAGCTAGCAGTTTAAGAGCATGTTTAAATCCATTCCACTGTGATACATTTTTCAAGTCATGCTTTGCTCTGATTCTTAAAAACTTCTTCAGGGTATGGTCAAAACTACTAACGGGTAAAGCTGCACTCAAGATATTCCTGCCAGAAATGTGTATTTGACACTGTGTGCATGTGGACTTTGAGACACACTTTGGTGTGGAAAGAGGGAAGAGCATGTAGGTGAGATTTTAATGGACAACTTTGATTCATTGTGACATGATGTCCTCTTGTATACAATAAGTGATTACTAAGTAGCTAATAAGGCCAAAGAAAAAGCTACCTTATGAAGTTAATAAGAGGATTGAAGCACCTGCCCTATGAGGACAGGCTAAGAAAATCGGGCTGTTTAGGCTGGAGAAGAGGTTTCTGTGAGGTTGTGTGGAGACCTCATAGCAAGTGCCCCATATCTGAAGGGGGCCTAGAGGGAAGCCAGAGAGGAATTCTCCATCCGGAGAAAGGACAAGTGATAGGACAAGGAGTAATGGGTTTAGATTCTAAGAGGGGAAATTTAGGTTATAGGTATTAGGAAGAAATTCTTTACTGTGAGGGTGGTGAGACACTGGAACAGGTTGCTCAGAGAGGCTGTGGATGCCCCACCCCTGACACTGTTCAAGGCTAAGTTGGATAAGGCCTTGAGCAGCCTGATTTAGTGGGTGGTGTCCCTATCCAAGGCAGGGAAGATTTGAACTAGATAATCTTTAAGGTCCGTTCCAACCCCTTAACTTTCTATGATTCTATAAATTTATCCCTGTGGAAGTACTGGCATTGCTGTTTGTATTACAAGGTAGTTGCCTTTGATTGTGCGATGGTAGAGCTACCATATGTCCTCAGTTTCCAGGAGTTGTCTTTTTCTTTGGTTATGTGTGGTTGGATTCAAAGATTGGAGATGTTTGTTCAGTTTCTTCGTGACCCACAGCCTTCTCACACCACAGGCTCCAGCTGGATGTAAAGAAGCCTGCTTCTCTGAAAGAAAAGTCTTCTACTTGCCTACAAAGCAGTTGGTTATACAGGCTGTGCCTGTGGTCCTGTATTCATCAGGATCCTTGTCATCATTACAGACATTCATTACCAGCATTACCAATTGAACTAGCCTGCTCAAAGTATTCAAGGCTGAGCAGATTTATTTGGCAGTTCCACCGTTTAAGTTCTGGTGTCCCATCTGGGGAATTCAGAAATAAGATTTTCAAAATTGGATAGGTAAAATGAGCCTCCCAATTTCTTCTGGAGAAAATACCTACCAGTAGTTCCTCTATCTGTTTGTTTCATTTGGATAGGAATTTAAGTGTCCAAATAGTATAAAGCTAGCCAATGAAGAACATGGCACTTCTTAGAAGTTAAACATGAGCTTACAAAATAAACCCTTTTGAGGCCGCTATGGACCTTGTTCCTTTCCTTCTAATACTAGAAATAATATCATGTGTAACAACGTGTAATAATTGTATTGTAATTGTATATGTAACAATTAATTTACTTTGTTTCTCTTTTTGAAGTTGTTCAGAAATTGTGCTTTTATTGATACAGGATAGAGTAAAACACCCCCAGGTTTTAGAACATTATAATATTAGATACCTGAGCTGGAATTTCAGGGCCATGTATGCCTTGGTAATTTTAGTCAGTGTAGTTAGAGCAAGTTCTTAGATCAGACGTCTCTCTCTCTCTATCTCACCTGATTGATGTTCAAGTAGTAGATACTTGAGAACTGCTGTGCTAACTAGTATGATCAGGGCCTTTGAACATTATTCAGTCAAACAGCTGGAGCACAGTTGAAAATCACCATGCTACAGTCAGAACACCATGCTGTGGACTTTAGAACCATGTTGATTTGCTTAATGTAGTTCAGAATAACAAGATTAAATTTAAAGTGGGATTAAGTCTAAATTTATGTCTTGCACACTGGAACAAATATATTTTCATTTCCTTATGGAGTGAAACCTTTAAAAAGGCTCACAGAAAGCTCCACCACAGAAACCTGTACATTGTGTGAAAGGGTCACGCAGAAGCTTCACAGGCAAGGCTCCTGTAGAAGACTCATAATGATGTCACACTATATCCTATGAATTAATGAGAAGAGTAGCTTTGTTTATTCTGGAGCATCCTTTGATACACTCACCATTTCCCTCCTGCTGTTTATATCCTTTTCTTGCACTGTCATTGCTTCCTGCTGCTTGTCCCAGACTGTGCTGCAGGCACTTCTGCAGAGACAAGTGTTTCTAATTTATTATTTTAATACCATGAACTTTGGGAGCTGAGTGTGCTGTGCTTGTGACTGCTTTACAGTGGAAGTACTGTAGCATCCTCTAATAAGGTTGCCCCTGAATACCACTTGAGATTATGAGAAGGGAAGAGTGCCAGTTTGCTAGGCTGTGTTTTCTCACAGGGAATGTTTTACATTGCCTGCCATAGCATGGCCTGGATTCTCACTCATTTCCAGATGTGATTAATGGTCCCTTGGCTTGCACAGTCCTTAAAGTGAGGCTCAGTATTGGTTATATCAAGTGGAGTGATGCAGAAGGAGGCTGTCTTCCTCAGTTTATAATCCAACAGCTCCCAATATGAGTGTCTTGCCTTGTAGAGGTGGAGGGGCTGCAAAGAAACAGCAAATCGTATTTATCCCTCTGCTCTCTTCTGTGCCTTGCAGAGGGTATGTTGGAGCTGAGCTTGCTCTGAGTGACAGAACCTGTGCTACCAGTGAGAGCTGGTTTCCTTGTCCCCACTTCTCCATGCTCCAAGTCAAATGCAGTCCTGAACTACACTGTGTTCAGAACTGGTGGTTAAGACTTGGTTTGCTCATAAGTGGGTGTGCTGTCTTTATCTCACTGAAGCAAGGTCATCTATATGCCCTGAGAGACAGATCCACAACACATGGGTCCAAAGACTGCTTCAGAATTATGGAGAAAATATATAGTTATCTCTTTGTGCAAAGGGACTGTAAAATTCTGCATTGAATTTAAAGCAAAGAGAACAAGAGGAGGCAACAACATGCTCTGAATGCTCTTCCATCATTCTGCGAGCTTGATTGTCTCTTGCTTTACTCTGTGTATTCTCCTGAAAATGTTACTGGCTGTAAGGGAGCTGCCTCTGAAAGGATTGTATAACCATATTCCTTTTAAATGCCTGGGGCTTGAACTTCTTCCTTAACGCTCGCTTTTATCTGACACTAAGGATTCAAAATTATTTTGTGGAACAGTCACATGTTTGCCATTCAGTGAATGACCACCAGCCTGGTACGTGTGCCAATGGCTGTTTAAATGTCTCTTTACTAGAGCTCTGCATGGTATCTGTGATGCATTATCTTGACATCTAATTCACAAAGCTCTGTGACAGAAATCAAGACAGTCATAGGGTTAGAAAATCAACCTGATAGTCTCTGTTAGTTCTTGAATATTAAAGGTGTATGGAAAAGGTGTGGAATCCTGAACTATTGGATAGTTCTGCAAATTTTCAGGATTTGTGCCATGAGTGTTGGGTCAGACTAGTGAAGTTTTCAAGTGAATCAGGTCATTCAAAAGCTGTTACTGAATTCACCTAAACTGAAAAAGTGCTAGCAGGGGTGTCAGCTCTTTTAAGACTACTACTGGCATTCCATAATAAAATTAGGAAGCACTTCCATATGGCTGTTACATTTTTCTGTCTTTTTAACTGAAGTACTTTCAAAATGTTTTTTTTTTTCCTGTGAATGTTGCTGACCTGCTCCTGTTCTTTATTTCATTTAAGTAGCAGGACTATTCATCTAGTCTAGTTACCTGAAACTCATTAGTTTGTTTTTGAAGTATCTGTTAATATTCAGCTACTCAGACCCTGCTGCTTGCTAATCTGCTGTGCTGGGTCAGCATTTGCTTTGTAAGTATTATTGTATAGATTACTCACAGGTGCACTTACAAGTGTCAGTGCACTGATAGGTCCATATCTTGCAGTCACTAATAGGGCATTTTGAGTGCGAATATGATGGCAAATGGGTCTAAGGTCATCTCAAAAAGCACAAAAAGAAAAAAAAAAACCACACA